TCAATGTTTGTCACCATTCAGGTCAGTCCCTCTTACGATTTGCGAGCACGCCCTCCCACACTCACGCCTACAGAAACCTGTTTACTTTTTTACTTAGTTAAACTGGTCGTTGATATGAGTTGTGGTTGATGCGGACGCCAAGTATCAAGGTGAACTAATTAATTTTTTTGCCTGATACTGTTCTCTTCCCTAACCCCGAGTTAACATACCGCTTGTTTGTGTGCACCATCAGTGTCATTTCAACAGACTACACTCCAGTAAGGTTAACCTCAATAACTTCTGGCACGCCGGCAATTAAAAAATTCAAATATGCCTATCCTACGACGGACGGAGGATCAGACCTGTTTCTGGGAGGGAATCGAAGTAAACCAGGTTAATCCCTACACTCAAGACACTTTTCTGATCTACAGGCTTCACCAGGCATATCAGAACGAGATTTGCGCTTAAGCATCAAGTCACCCTAGTGAGTGTCCTTGCAATGTTCAGTGTAAATGTATAATGTATCTGCAATACATGCCGGATTACCCCACCTAAATCGTCGTACTGCTTCATTCAGACTGAACCTCATTCTCATGCCGTACTGTGTCGTGCTGTTTGGTTCGCGGTGTCACCAGCGTCGGGATTATGCTGAGTTTTATATGCATATATTCACATTTGTCTGAGGACAGATTGTGTGCCAGGCAAATCATGGTACAATAATCTTTATAAAACAGGAAAAACGTTCCATGATTGGCTTGTGGGCTGAACACTGCCAGGTTGCCCAGACCAAGGCAGGTGAATTTGCTAGAGGAATTCACGACCAGAGCCTTCGGCTGGCCAAAGCTTGACCCACGAGACAGCGGAGCGGTGTGTGAAAACCGCTAAGTTCTGTGGATTTTTTTAAACAGTGTTCTGAGTATCAAGGCGGAGCCTTGACTGGATTCCGGTCAGTAATCATTTGGACGCAGCATTGACTCGATGTGAATCAAATGCGACAGGCTGGAGCTTTGCTGCTTATGCTTCGTCATATCCATGCTCGCACTAATCAACTATGGTTCGCTTAAACTGAAATGAGGTATCCAAGATAACCTCTCGATTTCTGCCGTGTCCACTCGACGGACATCGCAGCTGGTTCTAAAAACTACAACAGTCAAGTGGGACTCCTAGAAAAATCAGAAAAGTTTCTAGGCCCTTGTGTAGCTTCATCCAGCCGAGCAGGATACGGTGATTCTTTACTCTGCGTATATCCAAAGCAGAAACGACATCAATTCCCGTGGAAACGTCTACATTCTTTTCAAGGATTGACCCAAGTCGATCACTTTGCCGGTGACTGCGTGCTCGCTTTCTCACTGGATTCCGATCAGTAACTGGTTACATTTCGTACGTCTGGGTGGTTCCTTGCGGATCATCAGTATCAGATTTACATATCGCTGCATATTCGTTATATTCATGTACGCGTCATCTGACTGCAGCTCACATGTGATTCAAAGGGTGACCAAAAAGGGCACACAACCTCACATACAACCCTGATATGGTAAGGAAATCACTGCTGTCGGTCTTCCGCCTTTATTAGCTCAACCAACCAGCTGAGGATGTTATTCGCCCTCTTCCCGGAATATGTGGGACACCTAATCAGCACGGATATCCTTACCTAGACACAACTATGCCCGGTAAATTGTTAAACAGCCTGTGACTGTTAACCATACGTTATCTCCCCTATCTACTTCGTAATTATTTGTTAGTCCCCCATTGGAGTTGAACCTATTTCAATGAAGAAACATTTAGTATCGGGAAAATAAAAGCACCACAGATTACTAGAAATGATTTCATTGTGAGACCGGAAATCGAATGCACGAGGAACATATGGTTATTTTTCCACTCATCCGATCATCCAGATTACTCGTGATGCGGTATGTGTCTGGGGTGTCGTGAATGCGAGCTTGTTCACCAATCTGTTCTTTTATTTGAAATATACTCTGTGAGACAATCTCGAGAATATTTAGTCATTGAAAGAGCTATATCTAACGTAGGTGTTACTAACTTACCCACTCAAAACCACATATGCTATTACTGCTCAAACGGTGACCTTAGGAAAAAATTCAGTCAACCAACACTTTTCACACCGCGCAGACTCCACTTCTGCCAGAGGTAGTGCAAAAATAGTTACCCTATGTCACCCTGTGCAACTCCTGTCAGTATCTCTCCCGAGCGCTCCATTGTTGCCTCAAGTGGTTCAGTCGCACTGAAACCATAAATATACGCACGACTGCCTCTGTAACCACACTACCGTCATTCATCACTGTTTCCGCGTAAAGTGATCAGCCATTGTCATTTCTTCATCATAGGGTTTCAAAGTAAAGTTAAATAGTGGCAGCGATAGAGATTTTGTTGTCGTCCGGTTCGATAACACACGCGTCTTATTGGGGACTCTAAATCCCAGGTCGATCATTAATTTCATGATTATTAATATTAGTGAACAGCAGGTCCTTACCGCATCCACAGCGATGTTTCATAAAAAAACGAGATCATCATGTTTGATTCGTTCAACGCCCGCTTCAATCCCTCATCCACCCAGCCATGTTCAACAGGTTCTCTGAATTTGCACCAGATGGTGTAATAAAGCAACTTCTTCACTTGACTTGATTCGTGCAGTATACATAAATAAATAAAAGTTAACTTATGATTATGGCTTTCCATCCTGCATTGGAGTGGTGGTCGCGCAGTGGATTATTCGTTGTCATTGGTGGGCTTTGGACCCTATAGTCCGAGCCCCGCCACCCGACATTGGTGGTAGGCAGCTCTGCTGTCGTCCGGTTCAATACCACGCCTAACTTATCGGGGCCTTATGTGGTTCGCCACTCCAAGCCTCGGGACTTAGGTTGCCGGTTTCCACCACTGAACTGCAGGTCCTCGTGACTATAGGGTTCGCTCCGTCTGCTGTTCATCACACGTGGGTGTGTAATTAAAAAAGACAAATTTATTCGTGACCGAATAACTTCTCTGACAGTTAATCTATACTCTTGCGTAGTCAGCTCTCTTTGTTACCTATTCTCCGGTAGCGGCTGGTAGTTACCGCACAGAGGGTCGAAACGTCGTCAACCGAAAATTGTTTTTGGTTTTCTCTCGTTGTGGATAATCTAAACATTCCTATACGGATCTAATACTATGAGCACAACGCACAATTTCTTCAAAGGCATCCGTTCCAACTTTGGATGTGATACCTTGACCACACAGATGTTTTTACTTTGAAGTGATCCGCAGTCTACGTTGATCTATATTTCTGCGTTTTATCCGATTCGGGTTACTTTCGTTCCATCATCACTCTCCCCCGCTTTTTGAATGAATTATTAATGAAATTAGTTTGTCGATACGGTGTTTAACCATCATCCATCTCACTCAGAGTATATCACTATTGTTCCATTTTTGCTTGTTTACCGAGCTTGGCAATTTGTTTGTAAACGTTTCATCACCGGCCGAGGTGAAATCGTTAGTGCTTAAAAAAGAATTCTGACTGTGTGAGACACGTTTGCATGTCTGAACTTTGGTTGATGTTTTTCCTGAATTTTTGGCTCTTTGTCCCCATTAACTCATTATCCCAACCCAGATGTTAAGCTTACAATCGTTCTACTTTCCAGCTGCTCTTCTTTACTCTGATGGCGGTGCTTATTATGCGTCTCAAATTGTTCTGGACTCCGCAACTTTGCCTCACTTTGGCATTGTTACCCCAGCCGATCCGTTGGCACCGAGCAACTCAATGGTTAAATGATCAGTGGACTCGTTGGCGTGGATCACGAGTCACACGTTCATCTCGAGCTCGGCCCACTTCCAGCACCTGGATAGTGCATCTGGTTCTCATCCCTGTCGTCTCATTCATGACTCTCCGCGGATGGAGCAATCTAAAAGCAAGTTCTCACTGATACTAGTTTGCCTGAGCTCGCATCGCATGCATCGTGTTTATCCTTGATGCCTCACACATTGCCAGTGCACCAATGGACAATATAGATTTTATTGCTTTAAACCCATACAAACTTACAAGTACAGTGTGTGTACACGTTTGTCTTATTAGCGACATATAAACACCATGTACCGCTGATGAGTTCAGACGATGACAAAACAGATGTCCAATACTCTTTGTCTGCCTTCTCACACAAACATACACCATATCCCAGACAGAATTACGAGTAAAAATTGTTTTGTCTGATGGTATACGAAGAATACTAGACGGCTTTCTCGTCCTTTTGAGACGGGTCAGGATGTATTACTTATTACTTTTGTATCTCTATTGCTCCTGGGACAACAGAATTTTGGGGTGAGAGCCGAAACTGTGAGCTACACGAAACAGTTTTCAAATGTTTGCTCCCCATCCACCTCACTCTCAACTTCTTATCTTGTCTGGGTCACATTGGGTGGATTTTGGTTGCTGCACCTTTATTTATCGAACGAATTTATTGCTCCCGCAGGCGGAATGGAATGTTCGTGGCCAGTTCAGTTCGATCAACGACGAGGTTATGCTCGATTGGTTCCACAGTCTTCCACCTCCAGTCTCAGGCCCATCCACACCATGGGTCATTGCCGGCACAATTTCCACCCAGGGCAGTTTACGCTTGATGCTTCCGGCCGTCCCGAGCTATCCATCCCCGCAACCACTCGAACCAGGTGCGCATCTTAGAGCCGGATTCGCGCTCACCAATCATCCGCACTACGAGAATGCCGAACTGCGCCAGCGAACTGTGCTAGCCTATGCGATCTACAGTCGAAAACCGGTTGACCAAGCTTGGGAAATCTACCGAAAACAGCTACAGGTATGTAGGGATATTTTAGTACCACATGTTCTTCTTGAACATCAATTCAGCTCATTTTGATGGAACATATTTACAAAAGTCCACGGGTTTGATCATTTAGGAATTTTGTTGGTTTGCGTTAAATAGAAATTGTGTGCTGAGCAAGTACGCGGACAAAACGAGTCGGTTTCTAGTCATGGTAAAAGTAACCACGAAGCACATAGCCCGGTTGTGTGTGCATCTTTTCAAGCATTCTGAACCAGTC